AAGAAATGAAGGTTTTTATAGTTGGGTGCTTGATATGGGTCAGGACGGATCAGGATTGGTAAATTGCAGTGCAATGGTAGGAGTACAATGACTGCTTTTGTGTCCTTGGATGAGGCTCAGTGAGTCTTGCCAAACCAGATTTTGGCAATGGGCCTAAAAATAGAACAAAATTTGCAGCTGGTTTTAGCCAGACAATGCTGCAGCTCTGCCATGTTTGGTGCATGGGAAATGGAATAATGATTACAAAAAAAAATTATAGACATTTTGAACTCAGATATTTTATTTTTTCCTTCCAGTGCATTTTCAAAGTGTGTATATAGCGAATGCCTTCTTTTCAATAGAAAAGTCAAGCTTTTTAAACGCGCGCACCTATGAATAAGGTGCGCGTTCAAAAAAGAAAGTTGAGCGGCGAGTCATATAGATGTCGCTAGTCGACAATATATGTATATATTGCGTAATCCTCCGGTCTTGATCTGAATTTTTTTTTCATTTCTATTTTTCATCATTCCCCATCAGTGATGGTTCCGGCAGAACTGGGACCTACTGCCTGATCGACATGGTACTCAATCGCATGGGCAAGGGCGCCAAAGAAATCGACATCGCCGCCACGTTGGAGCACATCCGTGACCAGCGCCCTGGCACGGTCAAGACCCGAGGCCAGTTTGAGTTCGTCCTCATGGCCGTCGCCGAGGAAGTCCACGCCATCCTCAAAGCCATGCCGCAATGAGAGAGACAAGTGCAGCCAACCTATCAACCAGCACTGGCAAAGTATAAATACTGTAAATACAATTTTGCACTTTACATTTTTAACCAATAAATGCATATACTGTACAGATAATGAGCTGCTGTGAAATAAGCTTCAAAAACCGCATTCGCCGTGTGGCTTCGTTGCGAAGATATTTTACTGTATTTTGAAAATAAAATAAAAAATCAGAATTTAAATTTTGACTTCAATTATATTCGAATTGAGAGTGGATATATTTCCCTCATTTTCATTTTAAAATTTTCAATTGGAATTTGCGAGAGTTGATATTTACTCGAGAACCTGCATATGATGTCCTTTATTTATTGCGAGTGAAACGCGCACCCCCACTTTAAAGACTGAAAATTTAAACCCTGTGGAATTACATAAATTATACAACGAATTGCAATTTAACGAATATAATGGCTTAAAATAACGATGTCGGTTTTTAGGTCCCTGCCCGATCAGCCCGATAGCCAAAAATGGTGAAAGAATTTTGCTAAATAAAAAAAAATTTATGCAACGAAGCTATGTTTACCTGTCAAAATCAATGGCTTCGTTTTAAAGATATTTTGCTGTATTTTGAAAACAAAATAAATCAGAATCTAAATTTTGGATTCAATTATAGTCGAATTCAGAGTTTATATTTCCCTCATTTCCATTTTTAATTTTCTACTCAGAATGGTTGAGATTCCTCTTTTGGAATTAAGTATGATGTTCATCAATTGAAGCTTTGGACAATGGTCAAAATGTCCTCCGCACATATGACGTGTAATAACCACTTTTTCCCGGTCACTTTTCAAGAATGAAGGTGCTGCTTGAAAACAAATTGATATTTTTCCTGAGATTTTGTGATTTACCATTTGAAAAATAAATTCATTTAAAATGTATCCCAACATTTGGTTCTGCAAGAGTGTGAAAATGAATAGTGTAACTTCAAAGTGCTGGGAGTTGGAAACCAACTGAAACCTCCATTCCTTCCTATTCCAACAGATGTCGCCCTCCTCCTTCGAGCGTCGCAACGGAGAAAAAACTGCAAAATAAGGACTCGGAACGCCTCCACCAAAAAAAAAAAAAACCCCCACAACCAAAAGAACTCCTTCGAGCTTCCGTCAGTGAACTAAACACCGCACCGAAGAAAGGAAGAAAGAAAAGCGTATAGCCATCCTGAGTTTTTCCCTGCGAATTTATTTTCCTGCTTCACTCATCAGCATCGCGGCTCTTTTATTTTCGAGAGGATCGGAATAAGTCCGGAAAGAAAATGCAGAGAAAAAATTTTGTTTGGCGTCAGAAAAAAAAAAACAGAGAGAGAAAACAAATCTATGTGTGCGTGTATATATATATATATATGTATATATGTGGCGAAAAGAGAAAACGGTGTGAGTTACCGGAAGAAGGCGTTTTATCCGTTGGATGTCGCTGCTTTCAAAAAAAGGAAAACTAAGGTGTTTCTCGCGGACAAGGTTTAGCGCATTTTAAAAAAGAATGGGGAAGAATCGTGTCTGTTATTAGGAGATCGTTGTGGCTTTTTCCTGGCTGTTCTTTCTCTCTGTTTTTCCCCATACTGGACACATTCCCACGACCGAAGCGAAGAGAAACCGAGAGAAGAAGAAGAAGAAGAAATTGTATTATTGCAAGAAAAAAAACCAAAGGGAAAAAAATGTAGTCGCTTATTTGTCGCGGACTCGCAGAAACAATACGGCGGAATGAAAAGTCTGTAATTTGAGATTTGAGCTGAATAAAGTACGAAAAAACTGAAATCAACTGCGAACCGGTCCTCAAAAAAAAAAAAACTTTGTCGAATCCTTTCATTCCTTCATTACATTTCTTATTACGAATTTCTAGAGGTAATTACGTCTTAACCTCGACGATGATTTATGAATTGCTCGAGGAATACATGGTATAAAACGGTTTTGTATCGATCCACGATACTACATTTCGTTTCTTTCTTTGAAAATGGTTAGTGTTTCTCCCCTGTTTTCCTCACCGCGTTTCATTGATTTTCTGGAAGGAAAATCCCGACATGGTTAAAAGAAACTAATGCATGAAAAAAAAGCTTGTTGGAAAAGATTTCTTGTCTATTCAGGTCCGGTGCGTTTTGCTTCCATAGCGATGGCATCGATTTGTAGCGACTTTTCCCCATGTCGTATATTTTGAATTTGACCGTGAGTTACACGGTAGTGCCCAAAAATTCGAATATGCATCTTCATTATGTGAGAGTCAATTTGATTTTGTAATTTCACGAAGTTGGTTTGGATCCTGGCCAAATTTCATGCATTTTTGATATCCAGAATTGTTTTCATAACAAAAAAGGGAATTTAAAAAGTTGCTGATTTCTTACAAATATTAAATCAAGAACCATGAATGAGGCAGAGCTTTAGTGTTTAAAAAATCGGAAGGCTGGCTTGAAGATAGATTTCTCAAAATTAAAATTAAAACAAATTATTTCAACTGCTGAAAATTTGTCTGAACCACTATATTAGGACAAAAAAGCTAACTTTCAAAATTCAAATTTCAACTTCCATTGTCTTACAAAAATTTCAGGTAAAGATAACAGGCTTCATCAATACTTTTGATAAATGTACAGTATTACTGTAAGGTAAAGGAAATTTCCCATTGACTGTCAAAAAATGTTTGTGGACCAGCACCACTCCACAGACCACATGTTGGGAAACGTTGTTCAAGAGTCCACAATGCAGGTGTTGCCCTGCAATTTGACCCAAATATGTTGCCAGGTAATGATCAAATTGACAAGTGGTCAAATTGTGAGACAATGTCAAATTCAATGTTTTCTACATCAAGTTTGACATTTTGAGTTTATCTGTACTGGTTGAATTGTGGGGCAAGAGGTCAAAATTGCAAGTCAGTGTCCCAGCAAATTTGACCATCAAATTGTGGGATGGTCAAAATGTTTTCATCAAATTGCAAGGTACCACCTGCACTCCAATTTAATGCCTGAGGGTTTTTTCAATTTCAAAAGATGGAAAAGAAATGAAGAATTTTCCAAAGTAAAAAAATATCAAGTGAAACTTTCACTGATTTTTCTGATGTTCAAATGAGATGCATTTTCCTGTGTTGTGCTGGGATTTATTCTTGGTTCAATTATTTTGTTGATACCGTTTAACAGGGACTGCAGGGTTGGTGTTGATTGTCGTCAAGGGGGCCACGGGGTTGCGTTTGCATGTCGTCAGAAGTGCCAGGGCTTCTCCGTGACAACCGAGGCCTCAGTTCTACTCCACAACTTACCCGCAAAAGTTTCGCCCACAAAAACTCTCTTGCAGAACCCTCCAAAAAAAAAGCAGAGGAAACCTCAGTGACTTTCCTAATTTTTCTAAGAATCCCTCTCCCATTGAAAACATTTTTACAAAAATGTTTCCTATTTTTTTCCAGTTTTATTCTGCAGAAGATCAACTTTTTGGTGTGGGGAGGAGAGACAGTTTGTAAAGTAGGAGAAAAATGCCGCAGGGCAGCGGTTGGCTGCTGGCGGCGGCCATCTTTACCCTGTCAGTCAACATGGCGGCTGGGGCAGCAGGCTGGAGTCCTTGGAGCATGTTCACTTCACCCTGCAACAAGACCTGTGGTGGTGGGAAGCAGACAAGGATCAGGTCTTGCACGAATCCTGCTCCAGACCCAAACATCCCTGGGGATGCCTGTGTGGGAGACGCCATTGAAATCTCTGACTGCAACACAGAGCCCTGTCAGAGTGGGTGGAGCAACTGGACTGCCTGCAGTGACAATTGCACCTGGGGTGTGCAGCAAAGGTTAGTGAAATTTTGTGCTGATTT